TTTTGTCTCTATTTTGTAATTCTTAAAACCTTATATTCTTCTGTTTTTATGTGTCTACGTTTTTACGACATACATTTTTTACGAACTTACGTTTACGGTTGCTAAATACTTTCTTGTTATTTGTTACGTTTGCGTTTTACGTCATTTGCTTTTTGTCTCTTTATATTTTTTTGATTCTTAGACTCTTAAGATTTTACGTTCTTACGTTTTTATGTTTTTTTTACGACCATTAGAACATTGCTACGAACTTAAGTTTATATTTTTACGGTTGCGTTTTAACAGTGATAGTTCTTACGTTTTTTATGTTCACGATTTCTAGAAATGTTATCATTCTTTTTACCTCAATTCTTACGTTTCCGTTTTTACGCCTTAAAGTTTGCATTATATTTTTTGATTTTTACGACAAAATCACTGAAAAGTTTCTTTAGTTTTTTAATTTTCGCATTTTTATTCTTACGTTTTTTTAGGACAGAAAATAATTTCCAAGTTTTTGTTTATACTTTTACGGTTGCGTTCTTACGTTTTTTACGTTTACAATTACCATAGATACTAACGARTTAATATTCCTAAGTTTTWACTTTATGTTTGCGTTTAAATTTTGCCTTTTATTTATTTTATGAATTCTTATGTTATTCCTAGATTTCCTAAATCTTCTTATGTTTTATTCCTAAGTTTTTATGTGTCTACGTTCTTACGACACATATTTTCCTTACAAAGTTACGTTTACATTTTTACATTTTTTARGTTTGCGGTTACTAAATACTTTTGTTATCTCTTACGTTTTACGTCTTAAAGTTTGCGTTCTGAATCTCGTTATAATTTGTTTATTCTCAGATTCTTAAGTTTTTACGGTCTTAAGTTTTTGTATTTTTTTACGACCAACAAAAATCGTTACGAACTAAGTTTACATTTTTACGTTTCTTACGTTTTTCACGTTTACYATTTTCGGAAACAAACTTTTAGGTTACCATTTTTATTATTTCAACTCTTACGTTTACGTTCTTACGTACTATAAAGTCTGCATTATGTTTCTTTACTTTTGCGACAAAAGTTTTTACGTTGTTAGYGCACAAAATAATTTTACAAATTTCACTCTTTAATCGTTGCGATCTTACGTTTTTCTTACGTTTTAAGGTTTGCGTTTTATTCTAAAATTAATTTTTTAAATTTCAGAAACTTATTTTTTACTTTTCGTAAAATCCTTACGTTTCTACGTCTACGCTTCTTACAACTGCGTTTTCTTCTAATTCAATATTTTTTTCTTATGTTTCTGCGTTTTAAACACTTACGTTTGCGTTTTCACGTTTTTTAGGTGACTTCAAAGCCYGATTTGTACCCTTTGGTAATTAGTTATAATGGAGATCCGGTGATTAAAAATAACAATAGTTCAACTGGTTATTTAATGGTGCAGTACTTTAGGAACTTTATAGTCCGACCTGTTGGTACGCCTTTCAGTTTTGTAAAAATAAAAATTCAGTAAAAATTTTTCAGGATCTTTATCAGCTACCAGCACCATCGATTCACTAAGTTCCAGTTTTATTTGCAACGCTGCCAATGAGGTTAACCAAAAAACATGTTTGAAAAAAAAATAAATTAAAAATTTTCAGGCTAATACAATAATCCCTCCTCCGTATTCCTGCATGGGAAGTCTTGAGGAAGTCACAACTGAAAATAATCAAAGTGTTCAATCCCCCGAACCTCCTCCTCAAATCCCTCAATCAGTCTCCGGTGACTTTCTCCCCACTTCTAGCACTCACTCAAATCCTCAAACTCCAAATCGCCAAATTTCGATTTCGATAAGAGACAACCCTTGCTTTGGACAAAACGCAACGAATATTGTAAATAATTTAAACGAAACGTTGCCAAATCTAGAACCCTTAGAAAGCAAAAGCCAAAGTAACTGTGATGCTTCGCCCTACAAAAAGATAAAGTAAGTGGAAAAAACGCRAACTTTCAATRATAGTAYCCTCTGACTTTGAAATTGAGTTGGCAACATTTTWTATTCGAAGTTGCCAACTTTGTAATAAGTGATAAAAGCACTAAATTTTTAATTGTAGTAGCATATAAATCTGAAATTGAATTGGCAATWTTGAATATGAGATGTTGCCAACTTAATTTCAAAGTCACAGATCACTTCAAGTGATAAAGGCACAAAATTATTATAGTAGTCTGACTTTGAAATTTAATGGGCAACATTGAATATAGAATGTTGCCAATTCAATTTCAAATTCACAAAATRTCAAAAATMATAAAAGCACTAAATTTCTAGTGTAATAGCTTGRGACTTTAAAATTAAGTTGGCAACATCAAATATGGAATGTTGCCAACAACATTTCCGCGATAAAATCACAAAATTRTTMATTTAATTTTTGATTACAAAWAGATAAAATAAGTGGGAAAAGCACCAATTTCTAATCATAGTAGCCTCTGACTTTGAAATTGAGTTGGCAACATCTTATATTCAAAGTTGCCAACTTTGTAAGTAAGTGATAAAAGCACCAAATTTCTAATTATAGTAGCTTGTGAGTCTGAAATTAAATTGGTAATATTGAATATGAGATGTCAACTAATTTTGAAGTCACACTTTGCTTTAAGTAAGTGATAAAAGCACAAAATTATTATAGTAGTCTGTGACTTTGAAATTAAATGGGCAACATTMAATATGGAATGTTGCCAATTCAATTTCAAATTTACAAAATCTTAAAAAATATATAATAAAAGCACTAAATTTTAAGTGTAATAAGTTGTGACTTCGAAATTAAGTTGGCAACATCAAATATGGAACGTTGCCAACATAATTTCAGAGACAAAAGCACTAATTTTTTGATTTAATTTAATTTTGATTTAATATTTGATTACAAAAAAATAAAATAAGTYGGAAAYCCGCCAATTTCCAATCATAGTAGCCTCTGACTTTGAAATTGAGTTGGCAACATCATATATTCAAAGTTGTCTACTTTGTAAGTAAGTGATAAAAGCACTAAATTTTTGATTTAATTTAATTTTGATTTAATATTTGATTACAAAAAAATAAAATAAGTGGGAAAYCCGCCAATTTCCAATCATAGTAGCCTCTGACTTTGAAATTGAGTTGGAAACATTATATATTCAAAAGTTGCCAACTTTGTAAGTAAGTGATAAAAGCACTAAATTTCTGATTATTTCTAATTATAGTAGCCTGTGAGTCTGAAATTGAATTGGCAATATTGAATATGAGATGTTGCTAATTTAATTTTAAAGTCACAGTTCGCTACAAGTAAGTGATAGAAGCACAAAATTATTATAGTAGTCTGTGATTTTGAAATTAAATTGGCAACATCTAATATGGAATGTTGTCAATTCAAAATTCAATCAAATCAAATTCAAAAATCTCAAAAAACAAATGATAAAAGCACTAAATTTTTGTTTTAATTTAATTTTGATTMAATTTTTGATTACAAGATGATAAAATAAGTGGGAAAAGCGCCAATTTCCAATCATAGTCGCCTTTGACTTTGAAATTAAGTTGGCAACATCATATATTCAAAGTTGCCAAATTTCTAACTAAGTGATAAAAGCACTAAACTTCTAATTGTAGCCTGAAATTGAATTGGCAATATTGAATATGAGATGTTGCCAATTTAATTTCAAAGTTACAAATTCTCAAAAAATAATTGATGAAAGGACTAAATCTTAAGTGTAGTAGTTTGTGAATTTAAAATTAAGTTGATAACATTAAATATGGAATGTTTCCAACTTAATTTCAGCAATAAAAGAACTAAATTTTGTAGCTTGTAGTTTTGAAAATCAATTGGCAACTTTGAATAAAAATGTTGCCAACTTAATTTCAAAGTCACAGACCACTTCAAGTGATAAAAGCACAAAATTATTAATCTGTGACCTTGAAATTAAATTGGCAACATTGAATATTGAATGGAAAAAAGATGCAATGTTGCCAATTCAATTTCAGCGATAAAAGCACTTAATTTTTGACTGTTGTAGCTTGAAGTTTTTTATATTTATATCTTTTATATTCAAAGTTGCCAACTTAATTTAATTGTTTTTTCAGGAAACCGGTCCTTCAGAGACTCCCCAAYGACCGCAGTCAGGACTCCGACGAGGACCACAACTTCTCCGATTTGTTAAACCTCTCAGTTTGTGTTCCTAGCAGTGTCATAAATCTGGGGGCCTCYATCCAATCGAGTCACTTACAGGAGCTCCAATACAGTGTTACCAACAGTATGACCGGTTCGGATATCAGCAGTTTGGCAAATCTGGGGTCCCCAGATTCGCCCCCTCGGGCCACAAGTCCGACTCTGGAAATGAGAGAGTTACTCGATAAAATCCAGCAACTTCCCCAACAGAAAAGCCCCCAACCGCCTAAAAACAGTCGAGTTAAAGCCAAAACTCTGTATATGCCGCTGTACGAAGGGCCTAAAAAGGGCCTAAAAGGGTGGTTGTCACGCTCGGCCCCCAATACGCCTTGTAGCAACTTTGTTCCGAGTTTTCCCAAAAAGGGGTCAAGTCAGAGGAATAGTAAAGTGGTGGTGGGGGATGGCAGCCCCCTTTTAAAGGAGCACGAAGAGTCGGAAGAGGACGCCAATCGGGATGAGTGTTTGTGAAGGAATTTAGGTCAATTTGGGATTTAAACCATGCTCAAGTTATTTTTATACTCACCGAAAGCCGATTTGCAGATAATTTGGGGAAGTTGGCAACATGTATGAAGTGATAAAAGACTAAAAATCTTATTACAGTAGTCTGAAATTTAGTTGGCAACATCGAATATGGGATGTTGCCAACWCAGTTTTAAAGTGGTACGCCACTAAATTTCTGATTATTGTAACGGTAACTTTGAAWTTAAGTTGGCATCATTGAATATTAAATGTTGCCAATTTAATCTTCACCACTTTATAGATGTTGCCAACTTAATTTTGAAGTCACAAGTCAATTTTTAGCAACCTGTGACTTTGAAATTAAGTTGGCAACTTTGTTGCCAACTCAATTTTAAAGTGGCACACTTCGTAATTTCTGATTGTAGTAACCTGTGGCAACATTATATGAGATGTTGCCAACTTAATTCTAAAATCAGAAATTTGTTGTTTTTATCACTTATTACAAGTAAAAAAACGCTAATTAGAGTTTGATTAGGCACAAGTGCTTCAAGCCTAGGCCTAGATATTGGTTCGGTYTTTTATTGTGTTATGGCTCTAATAACAGCGACAAATTCGATATTTTTGTAAAAATGAAGTTGACAATTCGTGTTCATCAAATTATTATGAATGTTTGTAGTGATTTTCTCGATGTTGGATGTTACAAACGATTCATTTTTGCAAAAGTGTACTTAAGGTGGAATGTTGCTTGGTATATAAATAGATGCCTTGGCGATATTTTCATACTTGAAAAAAATAAATGCTTGGGATTTTATCTAGTCGACTGGCCCAAAAAACAACGGTGAAAACGGGGACAGTCTACTAGAGTTTTTAATAAAGTTATTTTCGGTTGTTTTCCATTTTTGTTGTCTTGTTTTGCATTGAACTTGAATGTTATACAATTTTATTGAAAACAGCAACTTGAAATGTAATAAAATGGTGATTAATAAAGAGTTATTTACGTCAGTGTTTTGTGATACCTGCCCAGGAAAATTTTTGCAAAAAAAAAATTGAAACGTGGAAAATACAGTGTGTTAAAATTATGGAGTAATCTTATTAAAACTGATTTTTTTTGTTTTGGCAAAATGCCCAAACAGGTCAATTTTCTGTTTAAAAAATACATAATTTTTAACTTGATGTAAAATTTTACACTTTTGGGTTTTTAAAGAATGACGTCACAATTTTTTTTATATGAAAACCTCTAATTTTTTTCGCCAATTCAATTGGCTTTTAATTGTCGAAATGACAACACTAAAATATTAAATATTACATAAAGTTTTCGAAAAAAACTTATACAAAAATTGAAATAATATCAACAAAAATTTTAAATCAAGTTGATTGACCTGTGTTTTTTCGTTTTATTTAAAATAAAAATCTGAGATTATACAAAGCGTTAAATATCTCAAAAATGTAGTCTAATACACGTTTTTATAAACTGTTCAGATTTTCTACTGTAACTCTTAATAGTTTTAAAATGCGTTTTATAAAGTCTTGTAAACCCTTAAAAAATGTGCATTATTTTTGTCTTTATTTTCCTTTTTTTTACATTTTAACCACAAAGTATTTTCACTTTAAATCCTTTCATTTTAAAATAACGCCAAATTTCTGATTTTTGAAGTGTACGAAATGCACTCTGTTTTAGTTACTTTTGTTGTTTTCATCCTTTTTTTCTTATCTTTTTACTTTTTTGTAACAATCACCAAAAAAAGATTTGCATCGTAAACATTTTTAAAACTGATTTCCAGCGTCCGACACTTATCTCTGTTGTTTCTTTTTTAGAAAGTTTTACCAAAAATAGCAGATTTTTTTACTATAAACATTTCTTAGATTTTTTGCAGAACCTCAAAATACCTAATTTTACCTCAAAAAGTAATTCATAAACTTTTTTTTCTTTGTTTTTACTTTTGCTTGAAAAAGTAAAACTTTTTTTACGTTGCTCAAAAACATTATTTCTTGAATTTTTTTCTTTATTACTTTTTTACAAACTAATACCAAAAATGTAACATTTTTACTGTGAGCATTTTCAGACATTTTTGGAGGGCGTCAAAATACCCCAAAAATAGTTTATCACACTTATTTCGTTTCTTTTTTACTTTTGTTTTTTTTACAAACTTATTTCAGAACATTTCGAAATACATATCCAAGAAATTTTTTACTTTTTCGCTTTTTTCACATCTTTATTACTGAAAAAGTGAGGTTATTACTACAAACATTATTCAAATAATATATGTTAAAGCCCATTTTCAGCGCATCAAATTTATATCCCAGTTTACACACTAATTTGTTTTTTTTTTCACTTTTTTTAAAGGCATTACAAAAATATATTCATGAAAAATTAAAAAAATACTGTTTTTTGAAACCTTTATTTGAATTAAAAAAAATGTACTTAAATTTTCATCCAGTTTTAAAATTTCAACATTATAATAACAAGAACAAGAAGCTTGAAATCAAACAGTTTTGAATCTAATTTTTCAACGTTTTATTTTACCTTAAAAAGTGGTTCATAGACTTATTTTACTTGAAAAAGTTAAACTTTTTTATGTTACGTTAAGGATGCCCAAAAATATTTCTTATTTTTTTTCTTTTTGCTTTTTTTTACAAACTATTACCAAAAATGTAAGATTTTTTAACTGTTAGCATTTTTAGATATTTTTGGAGGGCTTCAAATACCCAAAAATGTAGTCTATCACACTTATTTCTTTTAATTTTTTACTTTTGTTTATTTTGACAAACTTATTTCAGAACATTTCAAAATAAATATCCATAAATGTATTTATTTCTAAACTTTTTATACTTTTTCACCTTTTTGATATTTTTGTTAAAGAAAAAGTGAAGTTATTACTACAAACATTTTTCAAATAATAGATTTTAAAGACCATTTTAGCGCATCAAATTATATCCCAGTTGACACACTAATTTCTGTTTTTTTTCACATTTTTCAAAGACATTACAAAAATGTATCTATGAAAAATAAAAAATACTGTATTTAAAAAAATGAACTTAAATTTTGATACAGTTCTAAAATTTCAACAATATAATAACAAGAATAAGAAAGAAACTTGAAATGACACAGTTTTGAAACTAATTTTTCAACATTTCATTTTACCTTAAAAAGTGGTTCATAGACTTATTTTACTTGAAAAAGTCAATCTTTTTTATATTATGTTAAGGATGCCCAAAAATATTTCTCAATTTTTTTTCTTTTTACTTTTTTTTGTAAACTAATACCAAAAATGTAAGATTTTTAGACATTTTCGAAAAGTGTCAAAATATCCATTTCGAAATACACACCCAAAAAATGTAGTTATTTCAAGTTGAGAATTTTGTATTTTTTTAAGTTTGTCAGGTATGTCACACTGAAAACCTTATTTATTTGAGTTAAAAATAATTAATTAATAATAAAAGTATTGTAGTTTTCATTTAATCATTCCATTGTTTAAAACTGTTGCTTCGCCTACCAAAAATCGAAGACACCATTTGTCTAATTTCGAATTTCGCGCCGAAAAATGGCGTCGCCACAGCCTACCACAATTTCTGTATACTATTGCCATCTATACAGCAAACTAGTGATCAATACAGAACACTAACCCTCGCAAATGCACTAGCATCTGTTTTTATCACTTTTTACGAGTTGCGCGTCACTAAATAACCAATAGCTGCAACACCTGTCAAATATAAACTACACATTTGTGACATCTGTCACCAGTGACACTAACAATGGCGTAAAACAGTGACAATTCATTTTTTTTCTCACATTTATTGACTCAATTTGACCTGTGAGTACATTTTTTTTATGTATTGATTTTGTGAGTCATAAAACACATTGAATAAAAAGTCATTGACTCTGATTCTAAATCCACGTGTGGTTTGGTGCATTTTTGAAGGCTAAATCGATGAAAGGAATTTTGCAATAATTGCCCTGATAACATTTAATAATTTCTCCAGCGAACAAATAATGATAAAATTGTGTTATCTACCATAATTATTTGAAACGTATTTAAAAAAAAAAATAATTAAAGTTTGCCAAAAATCTAATTATAGAATTGGTCAATGTAATTTTTTTTTTCAGGAATGTCATGTACTACGCTTCGGAGCTAATTCCTGCAAAGTTTCTCGTTTTAGTTGCCCATTTCAGCATTTGTGTGTTGTTATTATGGAACAGCCCCCAGAGTGTCAAGGCCTGTTTGAGGCAGGAGGCCTCCGAGGAAGTGTTCCGGGGTCACCATACCCAGTGAGTAGGCTATTTTTGGAGCGAAAATGCCATAATTTCGGTTTAAATTATTCATTATTGTAACAATTGGTGTCACGTGTGGACGAATTTATTAATAGATTGAGGAAATTGCGACTAAAGTGAAGTGACCATTGAGATATGGTGAGGTTTTTTCGCTTTCATTTTTTTGGTTTTGAGTCATTTTTGGCCTCCGTGTGGTGGAAAACTCAAAAAAATGTAGTGAGATTTTTTGGTTTGAAATTCGAGTTTTGCGCCCTCTGGTGAGCGATTGTGGGAAATTTGCGGGAATTTTGAATTTAACGCTCCACAACTGTCTTATTTCAAGCTTTTTAAAGATGTGAAAAAGGCGAAAAAGTAAAAAAAAGCGCTGAAATAAATACATTTTTTGGATATGTATTTCGAAATATTCTGAAATAAATTTGTAAAAAAAATAAAAGTAAAAAAGAAAAGAAATAAGTGTGATAGACTACATTTTTGGGTATTTAAAGCCCCCCAAAAATATCTAAAAATGCTAACAGTAAAAAAGTCTTACATTTTTGGTAATTGTTTGTAAAAAAGTAAAACGAAAAAAAATTAAGAAATATTTTTGGGAATCTTTAACGTTACTT